TTTAATGACTGGGGGCGTCATTGTGTTGTGGTACACACGACGCTCTTTAGATCCATCAAGTTCTCGAATGTCTCCTCCCCCCCCCCCCCCCAGTATTGAGAAAGGATCACAGAATGTCAGAATTTTATTATATAGGGAGCGCCTTTTAAAACAACCAATGTAAGTTGTTGATGAAATGCAAACTTTATTTTATTACTTATTTGGCTTGTATCAAATACGATGATTTGGTTGCACAAAATGATCTTGAAATCAATTCATAATTAAACATTTCAAAGCAATATTTACCATTTAAAATCAAACCAAATCAAATCTTTTCAAGGTGGCTTGACATTTGAGGAAATGTGCAAACTTTATATCTAGTTTCACAGAGTTGGTTTGATGTTTCTCTTGACTTTAGGAGAAAAGAGTAGCTGTAAAGATAAGGTCAAGCTAAAGGGGAAACTCACTGTTCCTACTTGTTCAAACAAATTAGGTCCCATAAGTCTGATTTGTTTACCAGTGGAGGCCGTTTCCTTCTTTATGTGCCTTTTTAACTACGTCGTAAAATAAACTAATAAAACAAAGTAGCTCAAGTAAACAAACCATTCAAAAGCAAACAAGATAACCTTAGTGAGCACTTATGATACAGTACAACTATTTACATTTATGACAAGAATACAAATGAAAAGAAGCAAAGGCTTGATTACTTTTAAAATGAGCTGAAAGACATTGAGGGGAGGAGGTATTGCCAGTATAGGATGAAAATTTACATTTAAAACTTTGCATGAAGAAGCGAAAAGAATGAAGCAAAAACACAATTCAGATTCAGTGTCATAGTTTTAGTTTCTGTAAAGAAACCTCTGACCTTAAAGAAGACTCTTCAAATGCATTACTTTAAAGAATAGGCCTTTAATTACTAATGGATTTATGCTTTGATGGTTTGATCTTTCTTTAATGTTACTTTTCTTATTCACAGCAGCTCAAACAGAAACCAAAGTGATTCCAGATCCAGTTGACATATCAACCTCATCCAATCAGCAGGCTGCTCATAACACTCCACAGACAAACCCCACAACAGCTCACGGGACTTCATCCCTTTCGAAGGAAACGACCCCGCAGAATACCAAGAACTCTGACAACCTTGTCGAATCTGCACCGAAAAAACAGAACAAAACGACATCGAAAATAGCCACAGCCAAAAATCAGTCAGAAACTGAGCCAGCGCCACCACCAGGTCAACTTGAGTCAAATTCTGCAACACAAAATCCTGAGAAAGGAACAACCAAGAAGCAGAATGAATCTCATAACGCCATCAAAATAGTAACAACCAAGGATCAGGATCCTAAAGACAAGCTGACAACTAGCAGTGCTGGCTCAGACGATTCTAAAATCACTACAGATAACAATTCAAAGTCTGCAGACATAATAGCCAAAACTCCCAACAAAGACGAGGAACGAATTGAAGATGCTAAGGGGAACGGCAAACCGCAAACGACACCAGTAAGTGAAAAAACTGAGGAGAAAACGGACGCAAAGGATGACGAGGACACAATCAGCCCAGAGACAGAGAAAACTGTGCCCAAGGATCCCATCTTTAAGGAGGAGGAGAACAGTCATTTCTTCGCCTACCTTGTTTTCGGAGCCGTGTTCGTGGCGGTGCTTTACATCGCGTTCCACAACAAGCGCAAGGTACCTCATTCAGTCTTCTCTCAAGCGTCAAGTTCCTTGCTTTGCAATAGTTTATTTATTAATCAGAAGGCAAAAAAAATAAATAATCTAAAGCAGATTCCTCCTGATTCATTATCAATAATCCAGGTAGAAAAGTCCAACAAAGTTAAGTCAGGGCCTCTGGACAGTTTGGTTTTGTTGAAATGTTTCGTCTTTCATCCAAAGGACTTCATCAGTCTGAGGAGCTGCAACAAACTCAGTCTTATAAAAAGAACCAACATAGTGGCTCAACTAGTTTGATGGCGATCAGGTGGTCTCTGGAGTCCGCCCTCTGCCCTGACGACTCCTCGGAGTCAGGTTCAAAACATCCAAATTCATGCTCAATAATCCAGGTAAAAAAAATCCAACAAAGTTAGGTCTGGTCCTCTGGACTGAGTTTGTTTGTTGTGGCTCCTCGGACTGATGAAGTCCTTTGGATGAAAGACGAAACATTTCAACAGAAAAATAAACCATCCAGAGGACCTGACAACTTTGTTGGACTAAAGCCGATTCCTTCCACAAAATATATTTTTGACTCCAACAAAGTTGTCGGGTCCTCTGGATGGTTTCTTTAACATTTTGTCTTTCATCCAAAGGACTTCATCAGTCCGAGGAGCCACAACAAACTCAGTCCAAGAAACGGCACACTCACACAGTGGACCAACCAATTTGCTGTTAAGATGGTGATGAAGTCTTTTGGATGAAACGCCTCAACAAAAAAAAGAAACCCTCCAGAGGACCTGACTGAACTTTGTTAGATTTTTTTTACCTGGATTATTGAGCATGAATTTGGATGTTTTGAACAATTTTGGCCATAGCTACCTCAGAGGAGTTGATGGGGGAGAGGGCAGACTCCAGCAACCATCTTATCACCAGCAAACTGGTTGGCCCACTATGCGAGTGTGCTGCTTGTGGGACTGAGTTTGTTTTTGGCTCCACGGACTGATGAAGTCCTTTGGATGAAGGACGAAATTTCTCGACTGAAACTGGACCTGACTGAACTTTGTTGGATTTTTTTTAAAACCTGGATTACTGACCATGAACTTTGATGTTTTTGACTGTTTATTTCAAAGTGCTGATATGAAAGTTGTAGCAACTTTGCTGCTGAGGTTTGAAAATTCCCCTTGAATAAAAAAAATCATGTCGGATGTTTAAAACAGCTTTATCGTTGAAACAAAATGCTCGGGCCTGTGTTGCACTCATTGACCGTCAGCTGATTTAAATCCACACTTTTATAGTAAATCACGCTCACAAAACCTGAAAACCAGATGAAAACCGAACTTCTGTCTCTTTCCCCTCCAGATCATTGCCTTTGTTTTAGAAGGGAAGAAAGGCAAGTCTGCACGCCGGCCTAAAACTGCAGAATACCAGAAGCTGCAACAACACGTAAGCTAAAGATGTGAACGTTTAGGTGCCTCCTGTTGTTTTTATGACATATATTTAATGACCTTTGTTTTCTTTCAGGTGTGATACAAAGTGGTAAAATCTGAAGCCTGAACACTCTTGAGAGGAAAGACAAGTCACGGGTATTTACCAGGTTCAGCTAAACTTGTGTTAAATGGCCGCTCTTCTATTTTTTACCTTTAGATGTTTATTGCATGACTATGCAGAGAACACGATAGCCTTACTGGGGGAATTGATGTAAAGGGTGAAGTAAGCATGGATTCGTTTGCACTAATGTTGTTCCACTCTTTTAGTCTAAGGTCCAAACTCAGGATATTTCAGTAGCAGATTAGTTGTTTCAATCTCGTTTTAATGGTGCATTAATGCACTTTGTGCCTGAAGAAGCCATCGTAGTGAGTTGTGTATTTATATCGAAGCTTTTTGTTTCATCCTGCTGTTTCTTGTAAACCAGTCTTGTTTCTAAACCAATTGAAATCTTGTTGGTCTGGTTACTGTGTGACTGGTTGATCCTGTTTGGGGTTGACCTTGAACCATTTAATGGTTTGGACTACAGTCTGAAATGTCGTCAGTACATAAAACTTTATTTTTTAACAAAATGATGAGCCGCTTGAAGCCTGCTGGGATGACCTCTGATACACAAGATTGAATCATTTTTCATGAGTTATTTTAATATTCAGAAAAGTGTATGAAGTATGCCAAATAGTGAAAGGAATGACTGTGATTTATTTAATGTGCGACTCTTGTATTGTTTCTGTTGCTGGTGTAAAGAAAGCTGCTTCTATTGCTTTTTGACACGAGAAAGTCCAAATTATGTATAAAAAACAAAACATTTCTAAAGACAATAAATCTGCAATAAAAAGAAAGCATTGTTTCAGATTTTTTTTTTTTTTTTTTTTAAATTTACTGTAAAAAAAATTTAACAGCTGCTGTTTTATTTATTTAATCAAAATTACTAACATTTCCTTTAGGTCAATGTCATGACACTCCAGTGTTGTACTTTGTCAGAATGTGCCATATTAAAAATACAATTAATTCCTAGGAACTTGATCTGCTCGTGTTTGAAAACCGTAGAAGATGGAGATCCAAATGGCAACTGTATGGATTATGTAAACGCGTACTATAATTAGGCCTGTCACGATAACGAATTTTGCTGGGCGAGTAATTGTCTCAGAAATTATTGCGATTAAAAAAATTACAATAATTGGTAATTATTGTCAAATGTAAGAAGAAATGTTGGTTAATTTATTTTGTGTAGTACCTTTTTTTGACCACCGGAAGGCATTATAGGACTGTTTGAACCGAAGGATGGATAGTGAGGGAGCGAGCAGCGTGTATCTTTAAGAAAAATGGGAGGGAGGCCTCTTGAAGTGACACGGGCTGTTTTCGGTTCTCAAAACGGGATGGGTCAGTGCAAAGCACCGGAATTGAGTCTTTTGTCATCCAGTGTCTTGATTAGAAAGAGACGGGAAGAAACGATAAAGCTGATGAATGAAAATGAGGTTGATAATTTTCATTTATCATGTGATTAATTGATTTATTGCGACAGGCCCAACTATAACTGTCCAAGAAACTCCCCCAGCAGTTAAGCGTTGACTCCTTTCTTTAATTATGAAGTAAAAACAACCGTTCTGTTATGCTGGGTTAAATGCAGATTATGAAACTAGTTCAAGGATCAGAGCCACCCTGCAGCCAGCAGTATAAAAACATATAAAAAACAAACACGTAAAAGAGAACGACATTCATACAATGAATTATTTAAACACATAATTGTGGCAGGGATGAGTGTCTCGAGTGTGTTGTTCCTGCATCTGGAGGGAGGCAGTTTGAACTCCTGCAGCAGGTGATGTGGATCAGTCTGGCCTCCTTCAGACCTCCTGGAGGCAGCCAGTGAAGTCCCCGACAACAGACCCATGATGGAGGTCTTCCTTGCTGAGGAGGGACAGGTTAGCAGAATAATCTGTGGATTTCAAAACATAGTGCTGTGGACACCAGCTGCGACAATCATTAATGTATCATATAAAAGTATGCATGTATATAAAAGGGGTGTAAGAACACACACCTAGACCCAGTAGAAAAGTGGAGATCTGACCCTCAAGTTGAGAGCGGTCAGTGGAAAAAGTCAAATCAACCAACGGGCCACAGTCGATATAAAAAAAAAAGTAAAAATTCTCAGCCAAGATACAAGGTTGAATACAGAAATCAATTTTACAAAAGTTGTTGTGCCAGGCAAGTACCAACACAACAAATAAAATAAAGTAATTTGTCCTTATCAAATCTATGCCAAAAATAAGTTGTATAGTAATAATAATAAATAAATAAATAAAAACCAGTGGTTTTGTACAATAGTTTAGTCTTTATTTGATTTAAGAGCGAATGCAGTAGTTTCCATACAAACTGCTGAATTTATAGTAAAAAGTACTGGAGAGCAGTAGAAATTCACGTATACTGTCATTTAATAAACCTCTATACATTATGACTCCCATCTCTAAAAAGAGCAGCTAAATTATGTGGAACATGTTTTAGGTTTACCATAAATGCTATTCCCAGTCACTGCACATCACGTGGCGTCTCTGGGCAGCACGTCTCATCCCCAAAATGTCCCCCGGGCGCTTTCAATAGCTGCCCACTGCACCACCTGGTGGTGGATGGGTTAAATGCAGAGACTAATTTCGCCATTGTATGGAAACATACAGTGCTGACATTGTGATGACATTATTATTATTATTTTTGATTTAGTTTTGACGCCAAGCCTGGTCCACTGAGTGACATGTTCAAACACCACTGGCAGGAGTAGGACTTCTGAAATGGAGTTAGATTCCTAACATCGGTTCTTTAATTGCACGTAACCGCAATAAAAACGCCTTAAAGCCTGTCAATATGAAAGACCTTAAGTCTGCTGTTCTTCAACAACATCAAAAAAGTCATGTTGAATTTGTCAGCCGCAGTTTGTTCCACGGAACTTGAACGCGTCTTCACAGAAGCACCATGTTCCTGGCCTCCTCTGTATAAACGTCAGGTATCTCTCCAATGGAAGACGACACCATCCGGACGGTGTTGCACCCCCGCAGCTCCGCCTCGTACTGAACGAGTTGCCTCCAGAAGCCGGGATTCGGCCTCACCAGGGGCCGGCAGCCCCTCACCCACCCGTGGGCCTCCAGCAGCGTCACGCCGCGGTGCTTCATCAGGTACGCCATACACAGGGCGGCGGAGCGGCTCACGCCCGCGTTACAGTGCACCAACACACGGCCACCGCCCTCGGCTGTACTCCGTATTTGATCTGCCACCTCACCGAAGTGTTCTCTGAGAGGAGCCAGAGGAGTGTCTGACACCGGGAGGTGGACGTACTCCGTCCCTGGAGGAGCGCTGCCTTTGTGCTCAGTAACATTAATGACGCAGGTTATCCCGTTTCCTTTCAGCAGCGAGGAGTCATTAGCCGCTCTTTTATTGCTTAAATAAAGATGGTCAGTGATTCGGCACAGGCCCGAAAGACCTCCATTACCTGCTTGATGCATAAATACTGAGAGACTCACTAATACTTCACAGTAAACTTCAAATTTTACTAACAAACTCCAACACTAGCCCAGTTCCTTTTGCACTACGGCAAACGAGGAAGGCCAAATTCATTTTAGCGCACGATTATGTTGCCCCCTGCTGGATAATGTTGTCATTACAGTATCAGGCTCACATTTTCACTTCGTTTCAAGTTTGGTGTTCAAAATTAAAATATTGCTTATTTAAACCAACATTTAAATGTCTGCATGTTCGAAATGAGCAGGAAGACACCTGTTGGACAGACTTTTTTCTAATCCGAGGAGATTAACTATTCAACAACTACCAGCACCCTATCATTTTCCACGTTACTGAAAAACAAAATGAAGACTAAGCTTAAGAAAGCAGGGCATGTTGCAACAAGGTACATAAAGAAGATCAACAATTTATTGTTGATCGAACACATCGACGTTCTGAGCTTCATGGCTAAAACACTCTTGAACACAGATATGTCCACCTGCTGCAGGGAGTGATGCTGCCCATATCTCTGCGTGTTCATTTGTCTAATGTGTTAGCAAAACATCTTATGAACCAGTGGATGGATTTTAATGAAACTCCCAGAAAGTAATAACTGCATGCACATCTACAACTAATTAAAAATGGCTGCCACTGCTAAGCAATCTTAGCAAACACAAAATGCTTTTACTCAGCCTCTTTTTTTATACTGAGCTAATATTTGTTGTTTCAGTAGCTGAAACTCATTCCCAACAACATGAGCATCATCTGATCATGTGAGATCTATTTTTAAATCTTTGCCACTATCTATTACAGTCAATTCTGTTTGTCTGTTAGCAAAATATCTCATAAACCACAAGATGGATTTGAATGAAACTTTCAGAAAGTAGTCATCGAACTTACATCTACAACTCTGACATTTGGAGCTAACCCAATTTAAGATGGCTACCACAGCTAGTCACACTTAGCCAACATGAACATGTCTATAGCTCAGCAAGTTTGACAGGTATTAAGCAAATATTTGGTGTGGCTGTAGCTGAGAGTCATCCTCAATACATACTCTGGGTGCTAACAGAACATGCAAGTCAGCGGGTGATACGCATTCCTTTAAGGGGTATTAGGCTTTAAAACAATTTAAATCTCAAGGTAAAGTTTTCGCATTAATGCAAGAAAAAACATGTAACATCTTGTATGTAAGTTGTAACGTGCAGGTGATGATAGGTTGTATTTTATGTGAGTGACTATTGTGCCAAAAATAGTCATTTGACCCAGATCATTCTAGATGATCTGTGGATATCATTATAAAAGCCCATCTTCTCTGTGAATTATTTTTACCCAAGATTTACGGTTGTTTTACAGCCTTTTTAAAAAAAAAAATGTCTATGAAAAGCCAGAACCAAGGACTGATTCTGATTTATTTGTACAAACCCTCTCTGATTAGCATAGACAATAACAGCATCAGTTACACGTTAGCCTGCTGTGACATTAGAGCATCATTGTCTTGATTCGAGCTGGTTGCGGTGTTTTATAGCTGCTGGTGCCTGCAGGCAGTCCTCCGTTGCCCTGGAAACACAGATGATGGATGAAAAGGAGGGGGCGCATACAAAAGACCATAAAACCTGTGGTGGCAGCTGGAGACCGAGACCACAGATTAATACAGGACACTGTAGCCCCTCGAATTCAAAGAAGCCACTGTTCTCACGACTGCCTTCGGTTCATTATCTCCGTCTCGGGTTTCCCTCTCCACTTCACCTTGCCTTCTCTGGACTCTTCTTGTCAGTGCGCAGCTGCTGTTGGCACTCCCACATCTGCTTTTCTCAGCTCGGCGGCCATGAAGAGGAAGCTCAGCCGCGGCTCATTTTTCGATGAGGTGTATCCGAGGAGAGGGCAGCGTTATGTTGAGCAGGCAGAGTCGCTGCACTGAAGTAAACGGGTCTTGAGCTGCTCGGCATCAGCATGAACGAAGAAGAAGATGGAGGAAACAAAAGGATAAAGGAGTGAGGATCTCTTCGAATCGTACGTGAAACTGCGGGACGAGTGGAACACGAGGATCTGAGGTATAGAACAAAAATCTTTATTTAAAAATTTTCATTTGTGTTTCTGCACAACGATACCATTTCATCGAGTTCGCACTTTCTACTGCAAGACTGCACATTACGACTTGTTTGACAGAAGGGACGGCCTGTAGGTCTGGAGAGAATAGCTTTACTCACACCCAAGATCAGCCGTGTAGTCTACATTTTTGTAGTGGATATACTGTGCTTACCAAAGTACACTGGTTAGTACACTGTAATCATTTATTATTTTTAAATTTTTAAGCATATTGAACATTTCAAAATTTCTTCTATGCTTTTATTTGAATAAACGAACTACAGACTTTGTACAACAGTTGGCTTTGTATTAAAAACGTTTTAGCATTTATAAAACATTATCAAAGCAAAACATGTTCACATATCAAGTGGTAAGTACAGAAGTATTAATTGTACAAAAACAGGTTGAACCAACTCAATGTGTCTATAACATGTTTTAAATGTGTTGACAATGACATGAGCTCATGTCATGTATCATTGCCAATTATAGCCTACATGAGAAAGTATCATTGGACACTCAAGTGGGTATATTGAAATTACCAAGCTTTTCTAGTGGGTATACTACGTATACCCGCGTATCACATACTACACTACAGCCCAAAATCCATGTAAGGGTTATTTTATTCAGAAAACAGTATGTCTTGTGTTACTACGGTGCATAAACAGCATACATGTTTCTTTCATTTGCAAATGAAGGCCAGTTTTTAGTCCTTGAACTATTTTCCATTCATTTGCAAACAGTTATAAATACAGCTGTTTGCACATCTGTATGCAAATGTGGCATTATTTTAATGTAACGCTAATAAGATGCCCTATATGATGGATTTATTTAGCATCTGATTATGTTTTTCATGTTGCCTTGTGGTCAGTGTGCCTGAACTGGATTCATCTCATGGCACCAATCAGGACACTGGAGGATCCCAAGATCTGGACAGGTTATGTGTTATTGTTTAAATTACCAGAGAGCTCAGCGTGTATTTGATCAGTCATTAATATTCAACCAGGCAGTTACACTTTTATAAAATCGTCGCTTGCTTTAGCAGTTCTGCCTGATTCCAAGCTCGAAAGAGAAACTATAAAATGCAATAAGAGCCTGATCCCTTTGGTGCATCGTAGTAGGACGGCTTGGGTGTGTCCCACTTTTCTGCTGCTTTGTGTTCTGTGTTCTTCTCTAGTTACTCTGGGGGGATAAAAGCAGACCGGGCCTGATAGGACCTTGTTGTTGCCCTGCTGGCGTCTCCCTCTGCTGTGCTGCCGTACAGATCGATACTGGAGCCGTCAGGTTTACAGTACTAACACTTTTACTTACCTTACATTTATTTTACACCTCACACTTTGACTTGTTGTCTTATTTCATGGTGACCACAGACCTGGTGTCCCATGCAGAGTGTTCAGGCTGAAAGATAAATCAGAGATTAGCAGTGTGTTAATTCACCCAGTGTTTTTTCTTTATGCCGCTGTTCTCCTTTGGACTGCAGTTATCAGGAGAGATACAACATTAAAGGGCAATTTATGCATCATTATGTAGGATAATAACCTCAAATACATGCTTATTATTATGTTTATTAAGGCTTGTTGCGTAAAGCGGACAGGAATCATTCAATTCAAATTGTTCTCATTTTATTTGAACTCTCTTGCAGGAGCATGGGGCCATCTCTGCTGCTCTGCACCTTCAAGAGAGAAAATATCTGCTTCAATATTTCCTCGCCGAGAGTCGACTTCTGCAGCTTCTGTGCATCAGAGGACAAAAGACGATAATGGATTCGCTTTGTCTGCCTAATCAGATCTAGTGTGATCTATCATGGATCATGCATCATTTACTGCACTGTCTCCGTTTATTCACCCACTGAGCGCTTGCTTTTCTCAGAAGACATCTTTGAGTAACTTTTCCTTGCAATTTGGCCCCTTTACTCTGCGAGACAAGCTTCATAAAAAAAGGTGTTTGGAAGTATTTTCTTGGGAGTCTTTTCCATGAAAGCTGGCACGTAATGAGACCTGCGTATTTCAGGCCTGCACGGACGAAGATATTATGCGCTAGTGCGAGAGAACGACGCGTTTTCTCACCTTCTAATAACGTGTAATTCACACATTTGTTGTTTGTTGTGAAAGTTTGACGTGATACCAACTATTTTTACTACGCTTTTTCACAACACGCTGTGGGATTGTGGGTGGGTGTCTGTACGAGTGCATGTGCTTTTTTTGTTGTTGCATGTGCTCTATTCGTGGATGTGTTTATGCGTATGTGTGTGTGCATGTGTGTCACATTGGCCTAACAAGATGGAGCTATAATGGGCCTGGAGCTACAAGTCTTTTAGTGACAGGATGTATCAGATAAGAGATAAAACATTATTTACTAATGATTCTTAGCATTTGTTAAAGCCTCTTTAAAGCAGTAGTTGCACTTTAAATCACATGGATATAATTTGGAATTAGTGGAGTGCCGTTTACTGAATGGTGCCCGCTGGCTTAAACTGAGCCGTTCTGTTGCCAGCACCATCATTTACCACTTAAGCAAATTACAGCAAATGCTAATAATTATGTGTAAATAGCCTTTTATCCAGGTCTGGACTGCACTAACAGTACCTAACTAATATCTAACAGTACTAATGTCTGCTAACGGTTGGCGGAGTACTAACCTGCGCTGAGAATGCCGATGACTCGTGTTTCTAACACACTTACTAACCCGCTGCTTTATGCCACCAGTCTGAGACACGCACTGCTCTCACGTGATCCTGCAATCCTTCGTTCAGAACTGTCCCATTCAGACTAATCCTTCAAGTAATTCTCCACCCAAAAATGTTGACGGGAGCGTGTGAAGAAGGGTTTCAGGACCTGGAGGAGATAAACTAATCACTGTGGAATAAAAGGAGGAGCTGAGGTCAATCTTGGTTGACCACACACGTCAGCAGAATCTTTAAAAAAAAAAAGAGATTGCAATATAATTTCAAGTGGATTTATTTTACAGGTTAAATGCTCATTTTTTAGAGTCTAGTTTTTTTATATGAGTGTGTGGTCAGCCTTTGTCGATGTGTGCCTGGCTTTTTGTCACCGCCGGTACGACAGAAGCTGCGCAAACCTCAGCAACGACACTAACCCCTGTAGTTTTCATGCTAACAATAACCACGCTGTAATGGTCGTCCTGTTGCTCTTACTAACACCTTGCATTTGTTTTATCTACGTAGCTCTTCGGCATGCCTTGTAGTCTCAGTGATGCATCACATCACTTGGAGTCGTTTTTCCTATAACAGGATCCCAAATGTGAGTTTTTTAGATCTGATAGTTGCACAAAAACACAAAAAACAACGACTGTTTGTCTGGAAACTTTGTGAATTGTTACTAACATGCAAACTAACAAACTAACCTACTAATAAACTAACCTTCTAACAACTAACCTAAACCAAAGAAGCATCCTTAAAGTGAGCCGTGCCACTTATTGGTGGTTTTTAAGAGGTAATGTGTGTGTGAGATGGAAGTGTGTGTAGAATGTACATGAAAGACTGAAATCATCAGTGAAAGCAGAGTTGTCGTATGAATGTCTCAATGAATCAGAAGAATCGTGGATAGCTGAAATGTAAATCTAAAATATTTTTGTATGTCATTGTTATCAGTTTTTTTAATTATATATATTTGTTAGGAGGTTTTTTTTCCCACTCAGAAATAAACCGTTTTTGTTGTAAGTTTTATTTCTTAAATGAAAGATAGAATCTGAAGCAGATTTATGTTTGGAACATTTTTTTTTTTTTTTTTTTTTTAATGTTTGCATCCATCTGCAAACCCAGCTGTTTTTATGATGTATGCAGTTACTAATGGTTTGTTGTCTTGTTTCAGTATAAAAAGCACTGATACCATCACCGCTGACAGTCTGTGCATAAAAGAGCTCAGCACATACGCAGGTCCAATTTGGTAAATAACTTACTCTTCATAAAGACTTGTATTCAGTGCACAATCATACAACACAGACGTTAACTTTAGCCAATTAATTTCTCAGTCTATATATTTTTTACTGTATTTCATGGCTAATGTCTCATTAGAATCACAATCTTTTACTTTTCAGGACTGGGCTTTGGTCCAGATTAGTAATGGTTCAGTCAATGTCTATTTATTACCGCAACAAAACTAAAAATGACAAACATGCGCACACACGCAAACTGCAAAGATTCCTAGTATCCTGATGCATGCTCAAAAAGATTCCTAGTCATTCTTCTTTATAAACACCTATGCAAGCTGTATGAAAAGTTGGCAGAACTAATATTGTGTTCAAATGTTAAGTCCATTGCTTTAAAACGATGATCTGTGTTTTGTGAAGTTAAGTGGAAGCTGTTAGAGTTTGCATGGATGCTGAATTACAGCAGAGGGCAGCAGATCATTGTATTGGTGGAGGTTTTGAACGCTTCCTGTGCTCTGCTGGCTATAGAGCTTTAGATGATAACCATGTTGGGTATGCTGATATATTTTGAGCTAATTTGTTACTGGTTGACAGCAGTTTTTATCAGCTAGACTTTTACATTTGGGATTTCTTTTTAAGTCCCATTGTAAGCAATACAATGTTATTAAGAAATCACAAAACATGCTTAATACAATAAAGATAAGACCCTGGAAAACAATGCCAGTGGTATTTATTACCAAACGCATTTTGCATGAACGCAAATGTGATAAACCGTTCTCACCATTCACGAGAAATGATTCAAGTAGGCTCAAATGAATCAAAGAACACAAGTGATTAAAATACAAAGGCATAAATACAATAAAGAAAAGTTAGACATCTGCTCTGCTTATTGTAATTATTCCTAATACTGAGGAAATGCTGAAATATATCTGAAGGGAAATTAAATTGTTGACATATGCTGTTAAACAGCAAAACGCTATTGTAATTAAATTCAGTTTATATAGCACCAAGTCACAGCAGAAGTCGTCTCAGGGCACTGAACAAAAACATTCACATACATAAAAAAGCCAATTAGTAAAAGTTGTCTTTCTAAGGAAGCCAGCAGATTGCGTTGAATGTTCACTTTGTCACAGGCTCCCATCCTGAGCAAGCACAAAGGCAACAGTGGAAAGAAAAACTCCCTTTAAACAGGAATAAATCTCCAGCAGAACTAGGCTCAGGATGAGCAGCCATCTGCTTCAACTGGCTGGGTTTGAGAGGAACAGGAAGGAGAAACAATCACAGAATGACAGGTCCAGGTGTGTTTTCTATTGAAGGAAAGGAGAGTACTGAAAACTAGAAAGTTCCTGTAGAAACTTTGACGAGGACTGCCACGCTGCTCACAGTTTAAAGTTTTGATTTGACAGTACTATTGGGGTTTACTCTTAGCTATATTTCAGCTCAATTTGACACAAAAAATGTATGCATTGTAGTCACTTTGGTGTTTGCTGAGGTAGCTGTGGCAGCCATCTTGAATCAAAATGGCTCTAAACGTTAATCAGTTCTAGAGATACGTCTGATGATTACTTTCTGGGAGGAGGTTTTCTTCAGGGACCTCTGCACTCTAAGTCATGTGACCTCACAGCAGCAGATAGTGTGAGAAGTGTTCTGTCAGGCGTTTTGTATGGGGAAAATGGCATATTCGTTCGCAAATTACATCGCCATGGTAACTAGAAACGCCAATAAAAGTAATTGCCCACATCACAGTGCTGAGCCAGTCGTTTTGATATAACATTTGTGGGGGGACATGTTGCGGTTCGGGCCATGTTAAAGTTTACGGAAGACTAAGATATAAATAAATAAAGTTAAGAAACCCTAAGTCAGGTGGATAATAATAGGCGCCTGTCTTATACTAGGCAGTCCCCAACAAAGAACAAGTAAAGCAGTGTTTTTTTTTACTTGTACAGGGAGTCTATGAGGTTATTTCTACAGGGATGAAGGCCTTTACGTTATCCAAAATCTTACAAACAAAGCTTTCATAAAGCATACATAAAGCTTTCTTGAAAAGTAAAGTCTGATCTGCTCTTAATAAACAAACTAGTGTTTATTTAAAAAAAATACCGTCTTTTGATTAAATGAAGTGTTGGAGGACTACAGATATTTGAAGTCCTTTAACGCCTCTTTTCCAAAGAGCAAAATAATGTTTAGCATATTCCTAAAGCTGCAATTAGGATACACCTTGTGTGAAGTTTTGGAAGATGTTTATGAAGCTGTATTTAGGTTCATGATTGTGGTGCAAGATCAGACCTAAAATATGCCGAGGAGACCAAAGGTTCAAGTAAAATGTGAGGTCTCTCTGACTTGGAGCAGAGCAAGTATAAAACAGTATCTTCTAGAGATTGATGCTAACACCACGAGGCTCACACAATGCATCCTATGTTGAGTTTAGCTCATTTTAACAGTTTCTGAAGATTCTTGTGACCACCATCACACTGGCTTTTGTGGATACACGTTACAATGGGTGTAGTTAGTGGTGAGAAGAAGCAGATTATGGTCTGAACTACTAAATGGAGGGTGGCCTGAAATTGTATGGATATCTACATTTATTTGCATAGTATAAATTCAAGAATTAATTTATTTCCATGAAAAAGTTGACAGACTGCTTGAAGTGCAGCAAAAAGATAAAGGTATGGTATAAGATATGATTATGTGCGTCCATTCCTTAGAACAGCTATTAAATACACTGTGGTCTTGACTGCCCCACAACTAAATACAATTTTTGAGTGAATCCAATTTTTGAAATTTTTTTGTGTGCATTTTGTTGCTGGCAGGTCATATAGGCTCTATTAGCCCTGCTTGAGTCGTTAGCACATCGGTAAACCATTGTTCACTCCAGATTTCACAGGGATTCTTGCAATAATCTCTTGTGCATTTTTGTTTTTCCGTCATATTCCTGCCTATTTCTACTTTGTAGCTTGACATCACACTTCAGCTAATGCTGGTTACAGTATTTGTGTTGTTATTTAACTTATTTTACCTGGTTGTGACTGCTGGCAACCATTTGGTGAACGTTATTTGCAAGGGAGTCTCGAAAATGTGTCAAAACGTTCACAGACTCTCAGCGTATAAGTTGTAGAGATGCTCAGTTTTGATGCTTGAATTGTGAACACACTGATGAAATCCATGCGACAAAATTTCTCTCTAAAAAAAATTGCAGAGTCATCACGGGCATCTCAAACCATTTGTCGGGGATGTCTCCAACCCATCTCAAATCTGCTAAATCTCTATTTTGACACCTGCACTGGAGGCATCCTCTAACAGAAAACGTCCTGGCCTTAAAACCAGTAATGATGATAAATAATTATTATAAATACTTTGTCCATATCTGCATATCTTCATTTCAAAAGTGGGTGATGTCATAAACGTAGAGTAGCTACCAAGGTGAATACAAAGCTGACTGAAGCACATTGTGGTAGAGCTGTCATTTCTAACCCGAACCCGAAGTCCAGTGCCAACTGATCTGGATTAGGGCTGAGACGGGCCATAATAATGTGCGGGCCGGGTCGTTGTTGAGCTTTTGATTGCGTCAGCGAACGTGTGCGGCTGACGATCCAATTATATGGCAACATGGCTTGTCATACAATCACCAGCCCCACGTGGCCATTTGACCGTGCACTGACCAGCCTTGAAAGAGGTAAACAGTTCAGTTAAGCTTCAGATGGACTACTGCCAGCGATCCATCAGTCCAAATGGATGCTCATTCAGCTGCTGCACTCAGTGGACGCGTGCAGCAGACGACCCAAACAGGTGAGAGCACAAAATATCCAACATGTCAGAGCAGGGTCCATGTCTGAATAATGCAGAATGCGCTTTGATGGCCATGAAAGGACAAACACCCCCTCATCTCCGATCTTCTGCCCCCTTTATTCAGCCACGCGCATCCGCCAACCGTTAATAACCATATAAGCAGTCAAAGCTTAATTAAAAATGTGAGTTTTTTTTTCAGGTTCAGACCTGTAATTACTGTTAATTCATCGGGTCGGGTGGGAT